TCACTACACGTAACATCATTCACAAATATGCGAAGAATAGCAAGGTCTCCGCCAGCAGGAAGCTGTCCCAGCAAAGAGTTCAACATTTCAATGCTTTAGCAATTCAATAAACAACGGTAATTGGAATGAGTTTTGCTTCGTTCAGTCAAAGCTGAACTCCGGACAAACATTGGAAGAAATACATACATACATGTATATAGGAGCTGTTTTACCTGCCAAAGCATTTGTATTTCTGTCCATACAGTCATCAGATTTCCACAACTCTGCCACACAGCACAGCCCTGTCTGACAGGGCAGGAGACCTTATTTTTTCTCTGCAGTTAAGTTACATGCACAGGTCTTGTCCCTCCCCCAGCCTGTGATTGGATAGCAAAAAGAGAAGCAGCAGGCTGATGAGCTCATTGCTTGGTCATTCTGCTCTCTCCTCTTATCAACTTGTTCTTTGCTAGCACATAAGTGTTGCAGCAGTTAATTTGTATATTAGCATTCCCCAATACAATCACATGGCATTGTTTATTATATGGTATATGGTATACGTATATGGTGAATATACAAATTATGGGCAGGAAGAGGTTAAAGCTCGTCTCCAGGAAGATATAAAAGACACAAATTAATGTAGTCCTGTAATTATTAAGAAAGCTGACTTCCCAGCCAATCAGCATCAAGCCGGCCGTTCGACCAGTTCAATGATGATTGGCCAGAAATCCGGCTTTCCAGCCAATCAGCATGGAGCCGGCATGCGACACATGTTTGTATGTGCTTGTATGTGGGTGCGCGGGATTTTTTTTATATGCATCTTTAGTTTTAACTTTTTTTTACAATTAACTTTATTGCTATCACATAGGGGGAGAACAAGCCCTCTATGTGACAGCAAATATCCAGTGACAGGATCTCTTTATGGGGACCTCAGGGGTCTATTAGTCCCTTAATGTCACCTAGGGAGCCCCAAAGAAGCTGATAAAGCAGAGTTCTGCTTTAAATCTATAAAACCGGTACTGCGATTGGGCAATCACAAAAGGGATGTGGGCTGTTCAGCTTCACGGAGAAACACCATACGTCGGAAGCTGACATGGATGCCATTTAAAAGCAGTCCATGGTTGACTAAGGCTGACACATCAAAAGGCACATGTTACAAAAAAAAGGACGTTTTTGTCTTCCACGGACCCAAGCTCCTGACATAGGAGTTGCCTCACATGCTCAGCTATCTAAGCTCCATTGTAGCAGTTCAGACACTGCAGTCAGGTGTAAGGCCCTTTTTACCCCCTATATTAACACAGCAATGTTGACTTTCCTTTTTGATGCCTTCCAGGAAATACTTACAAGTATAGCAGAATAAGGTCGCCAGTTATCTAATGACTATATACAACCAAGATACGTTGACGACTGATCCATGAAATTAAGTTGTAATTAAAATTAGATGCAGCGATTAGGCAGAGGCAGCGAGTGACCTCTTATCAACTGATTAAACTGAATTATTAAATATATATTTCTCTCTCACACTCAAAATAACATTAAATTTGAGTTCTATTTTTACAGCTGGAACCAATTCTAAAAGTGGTCAGTCTTAAAGTGACACTAAACTCAGGAGTTAAATCTTAAAAATGCATTCTAGTACCTTAACTATTAACACAAATGTATCTTATTTGTGTATCACTCGGCAGTAGATCGTCCAATCATCTCTGAATTGGTGCTGACACTGTCCTTCCTTCTGGAGGGTGACTACTTTTGTTCCACATGGTCATTGTTCCAATGTGTGTTGTAAAGTAGTTACTGCTCCAAGCTCACTCCCGTGATGGACTACACTCTCAATACAAATTGGTAAACTAAACATGAGACTGTAGTCCCTCACAGGAGTGAGCTTGGAGCAGTAACTACTTTACAACACACATTGGAACAATGACCATGTGGAACAAAAGTAGTCACCCTCCAGAAGGAAGGACAGTGTCAGCACCAATTCAGAGATGATTTGAGGATCTACAGCTGAGTGATACACAAATAAGATAAATTTGTATTAATAGTTAAGGTACTTGCATGGGTTTTGAAGGTTTAACTCCTGAATTTAGTGTCACTTTAAAGTTACACTTGGCCAACATTAAAAATTAAACTAAGACAGGGGGAACCAGCAAACATGCCCAGGGCTTGCATTATTCCCCCAGCTTGTTGCTGAGCAATGTGAACGTGCAGAGAACAATCTGACCTCAAGCCACAGTCCTGATCTGAAATACATGTTGGAGCTTTACTGAATCTGGCTGTACAGAGTTCTACATCAATAAGGGAAACCAAAGGGACCTTTTGATTACTGGGCAGATGGAAACTTTTCTGGATTACATTAGCAGACGGCACATTTATTTTACTGCCCTCTAGGGGCATAGGAACAGGGGTCCTTGTGGGAGTGCCACATTTGCCCCATACTTGGAAGTAACAGGTTTTTGACTTGCATTCAGGGGCAGATTGGGGCAGCTAGAGCATGGAGTCAAGGTATCTGATCACGCTTTCTTTGAATTTTCCACCTTGATGCATGTTGACTGAAAGGTAGGGACATGTACCCACACCGGTGGTGCTTCCGCTGGCATGGAGGTGGTGGTGCTTCCGCGAGTAATGACGTGCCTCCCAGCTTCCTGATTGGCTGGGAAGCTGGCTCCATGCTGATTGGATGGAAATGGGTCACTGAGCGTATCCAGCCTTTGCTAGATCCAATCCAATGTTCAGATGCACTGCTTTCCACCCATAAACCCACAATTCCAATTTTAGCAGGGTCAGATTTCCATACCTGGAATCTGTAGACAAAAAAAGGTTGCCATCCAAAGCCACACCTAACGGCTAGGATCTCTTCCATTTCCTGTTTAAAATATGCCAATCCTGGCTTAGACTATTGTTCCATTTGTAAAACTCATATGAGATGACTGTATGTCTATCTGCTAATAGTGGGGGAAAAAAAGGTACGATCAAACCTATGCAGGTAAAAAGTTGCCTCCTTTGGCTTTGCACCTTATAGGCACAGGCCCACTGTAACTTATGAGTTTTGTGATACAGGCCCATAGAAAGGGGAGCCTTAGGACCCCAAGGTGAAGGTAATGACTTTGCTTGAAGGACTATAAGATGTAATACATTCTAGAATGTAGATTTTTGCTGATAATATATGCATTACAACATCACTAAAAATAACTCTTCCAACATGTGCCTCATGAGACCAAAAAGAAATAGAGAAGAATGAAAAAAAAAAAGAAGAGATATACACTGAGTGGCCAGATTATTATGACCACCCCATCAGTACTTCGTTGGGCCACGAGATGACTCCACGAGATGACTTCGTTGGGCCGCCTCGTGACTCCACGTAAAATGAATGATCCTGAGAATATTTTTCCAGCATACACAAGGACTTAATTAGACCGAAGAATTACTTTTCCCCGTGCCTTTGCTTAAACGTCTGGATAAATGTCAGAACATATCTCCTTAATTACATTTCAATCACTAATCAATTGGATAACGATCGGACCTATCACAGCAGCGGAGACCTGACCTACAAAGGAAATAACCCCGTCGCCAAGAAATGTGTCACTGTCATTTTAACTAGGGTTCAATTTCTTAATTAAGATGCTACTTCAGGAGTAATTATGTATTTTTTATTTTTCAAGCCGCAAAGCAGAGTGCGAATATCTCGTCTGCAAAACCCGAGATGAAAATAAAATGTGATAGAATTATTACTGAGACGTGGAGCCAGAGTGCCACCTTGTGGCTGGTGGGAGAGAGAGAGAACAAAAGAGATAGAAAGAGAGAAAGGAAAATGTGAGAGAACACAAGGAAAAAAAGAAGGAAGAAAAGCAGGAAAGAAAGAAAAAGGAAAATAAAAAGGAATGAATTTCTAAGGATGAAAGGTGAAAGAAAACAGAAACGGGAAGAGAGAGCAAGAAGGAGAGAGAGAGAGGGAGAGGACAAAGGAGAAAGGGAGAAAAGGGCAACAGAGAATGGGAGGGTGGATGAAGAGAGCAGGGGAGAAGAGGGAGAGGAGAGGGAGGGGGGTAAGAGGGAGAGGAAGAAGTGAGGGAGGGAAGAGGGATAGAGGAGGGGAAGAAGGAGAGGAGGAGAGGAAGAAGTGAGGAAGGGAGAGGAGAGGGAGGGAAGAGGAGATGGAAAGTGGGAAGAGGGAGAGAAAAGGGAGGGAGGGTAGGAGAGGAGAGGGAAGAGGGAGAAGAGAGGGAAGAGAGAGAGGAGAAGGAGGGTGGGAGGAAAGGAAGAAGGAGAGGGAAGGTGGGTTATCAGGTGGGCGTAACTAGAAATCACAGGGCCCCATACAAAATTTTGCTATGGGGCCCTGCGATTTCTAGTTACGCCCCTGGTAGAGAGGGAGAGTGAGAGGGAGAGTGAGAGGGAGAGAAAGGAAAAAGGGAGAGAGGGGGGAGGAGGGAAAGAGAGGGATGGGGGAGAGAAGGAGAAAGCGAGGGGAGGGAGGAGAGTAAGAAATGAGAGGTAGAGGGAGGAGGAGGAGGAGGAGAGAGAGAGAGAGGGAGAGGACAGGAGAGAGAGGCAGGAGGAGAGACAGATGAAGGAGATGGGACAGGAGGTGAGAGACGGTAGAGAGAAGAGTTGGTAGAAAACTCTTGCCCTGATGTTAGGCAGGTGTGTATGACAAAAACACCATATAAACTATCTGTAGATGTGTTACAAAAAAATACCTCAATAGGGTCTAAAGACACATAAATACCTAAACATGTTTTCACATTTGACGCCTATAAACCTCTGCAAAAGCAGAATATAGACAGACAGACAGTGACAAGAACCTGATACACAGAGATATAGGCGGAGTTAACAGTTTCAGAAGAAATATTTTATTCCCATACTATGCGCTGTGTATATATGACCCAACAAAACTACATTTGGTGCATTTGGTTCCTTGCTCTGGCTGTCAATTATTTATACTCGGAACAGAACAAAGCGAAGAATACAGAATTTTTGTAGCTTTGGGAAACATAAATAATTTACAATTGAGTTTACTGACGTACCTAGCACCTCCATCCATCGGTTCCTTCCTTCAGACGTAAGCAAGAAAAGGGAAAAACACACACGTTAAAGCTGAATATAATCTGCTTGTATTTTGCCTTTCTTGGTTCATCCCTCCAACACCGCCAACCCACCAACATGCTAATGAAATTTTGTATTAAATCCTTTTTGTTTTTATTGCATACCTAATTATAGAGCCAGTGATGTCATCAATGGGTCTCTGTGCTTTTCTATGGAATGCAGGCAGATCAAGGCTTGCTGTACATAGCACCAATCACAGCACCCTGCCTCAGAACTCTTCTTAAGAGCCCTCAGCCCTGATGCAAGCAGTGGGCTGGCTCTTGGGAGAAGTTATGCAAATCTCAAAATGCCTGAATAGGTGTATAGCAGTCTGGAGTAGTGGACATTCCTAGGCAGCCTGTAATGCTGAGTCATCAGGATTGTAAGAACTGAAAACCAATTAATGAAAGGGGTGGGTTGTGGACAGTCAGGTATGAGGGGAAGGGGCTGGATGTCTTCCAGCCAGGAAATGAGTCGGGCTCTATCTGACTTGCTGCAGCTTCTAAGGCACATTATGAGAAGCTCCCAGTGTGCAGTGAAATCAGAGCAAGCAATTCCAGTCCAGGAGAGGAGCCGGTACAACTGTACAAGACTGAATGGAAGGCAGAGGTTCAGCTTTAACTCCAGTGCAGCCAAGGATGTGCCTGCCATATAATAAGAAGAGCTGCCACATTTTAAGCACCCCGGTATGATTCCAGTATATTGAAATTGGTAAGGATGTGGTTCATGTCCGGGAGACTCTGACACTGTAAGCTGGTCTATAGTCTGCTGCCTGCTTTGAGTAAAGGATTTAAAGGCACAGAGGTGTTCTGAAGATGAACTGTAGCAAGCATCCAAATACACAGGTGAAATATATGCACCAAGACCAATTTCCCAGGGGAA